CTACATGTAGCTAATGTGCACATGACAATAAAGCCTCGACACTAGAAACAGGAAATACACATTTCCACTGATACACGTAACTCTGTATTCACCTCAGTTGATGCTGAACACTCACACAGTTCTTCCTCAGCGTGCTTCATGTTTTTGGTGACTCGAGTAGCAGTTCGGGAAACGTCCTCTTTTTGGACACAAATAACGTGGACGCTTCGTGCCATTGGACAAACTTCCGCACAATGGAAATGTGTTTTAAATGGGAGGAAAGTGTCATTAAATGGTACCCAGTGCAGCTAAGCTCACATTCAGATACAGGAGTGTTCATGCAGCCCCTAAATAATGGTAATGATGATTACAAATCATTTCTAGGGCAGAAGGTATTTTAAAAGTGAGAACAACTATTTTAAATGGGAGGAAAAGTGTTTTTTAATAGGGGCAGAGTGATGGGAGACAAGCAAGCTGCAGCACCTCACTGACAAGGGTTTTAAATGGGGACAGAGTGTACCCAGAGAGCAGGCTGCAGCACCTCACTTTCTAAGGGAGGAACAGTGGTTTAAATGTGGGGGAAAGAGTGCTAAACGTCTGATACAAGTCTGCTAAATCTCTGATAACAGTGTGGTAAAAGTCTGATTGCTTCATAGACCCATAGCAATGATACAATAAACCATTTACATCTAAAACATTTTTATTACAATTCATTTTTAGGGGAAAAAGTGCAGAGAGAAGCCTGACAATTCCTCCCCAGCTCCCTGGAGAGCTCCCAGGTGCTGAAGAGGGGGAGACAGCCCCCCTGCAGCACCCCAGCGGCTGGGCATCGACATGGAGGGGGGCAGTCCGCCTGTCAGCACCCAAACTCGGCCCTGGAACCTCCAGAACTCCTGCTGGAGGTCCCAGCCCCTCTCTGACCCAAAGGAAAACAAATTAAATTATTTAACAGCAGCAGTGTGTTCAGGTATTAAAATATTTAAAGTTGGAATAAAGTATAAACTACACAACACAAGTCTAATGCACAGCAATCCATAAGATGAGTCCGATATGTTCATGAAACTCTCCAGGAGACACCAACACTAACGTGGCCGAGTGGACTCCGGAGTGTGCTGCATGAGTTGCACTGTATGATCTGTGGTGTAGTGGGCTGTCACTCAAAAACTGAGTAGCCAATGGGGACGCACCCCTGAAAGTCCCGCCCACCTGGGACGTTTGTGTCAGAATCACAAACAAAAGATGAGGGAGCGCAAATGAGAGCAAAAGTCTGATCATTGAGAAAGAAGCAAAGAGAACTGCAAACAAAGAGACATGATAAACTGACAAGATCACCAGAAATGTCACTTTTGTATTCGTTTTTTAATATAAACAAATATATTTAACCGTTTGTTTCACTTTTGTCTTCGTTCCACGGGTGGGTGCGCCCGGCAGGCCGCCTGTGAGCACCCATAGTCTGCCTGGAACCTCCAGGATGTGTTAGCTAAGCTCCATAAACTGACAAAATCACCCAGAAATGTCACTTTTAGAGCCCAAAAATATATAATACAAATACATTTAAATAGTAAAAGGTGCAAATGTGCTCCGGATTACCCGGGGGTGGATTTATATAGCCCCATGATAGAGATTACAAATCATTTGGAAAGAAGTGTTAAGTGTTGCATTGTTTTAGGGAACCATATTCATGATAACATCATTCATTTAAATGCGAAAATAATGATTATAAATCATTTTCAGGGGAAAAAGTGTGGAGATATACCTTAATGCAAATACCTTAAATACCTTAAGTGGACTGTGAACTGGAGAAAGCCCTAACGGAGAGAAAGGGATTTTGTTCATGCTCTATTTCATCTGGTTTAGTTTTATGTCCTAAATATATTCATGTTGCTCTGTTGGAGGAGTCATATCTACTCTGTAGCTAATGTGCACATGACAATAAATCCTCCACACTTGAAACTTGAAGAGGAAATACACATGTCCACTGATACACGTAACTCTCTGTATTCACCTCAGCTGATGCTGAACACTCACACAGTTGTTGGCATCCTTGCCAACCTTGAGACCTCAGAAATCGGGAGCATTTCAAAACCACCGCGGGGCGGGGGCTGCTAGTGGATCGCCGGAGCTGTATTAGATTAACATTAACATGCTTATTGCAGTTGTAAGTGCACTGTCTTGATGGAGCATATGTGTGGGCTGGACCTGTATTTTACAGGAAAGGAGTGAGCAGCGGGTGGAGTTGTCGATTCTTGTTCTGTTTGCTGTGACTATCTTCCTCACCCTATCAGACTTTCAGTTGCGTGTCAGTGAGGAACCAGTGTAAAGACTTCAGAACTAGACTGATCCACTTTCTTAGTGTTAGTGAGGAACCAGTGTAAAGACTTCAGAACTAGACTGATCCACTTTCTTAGTGTTAGTGAGGAACCAGTGTAAGACTTCAGAACTAGACTGATCCACTTTCTTAGTGTTAGTGAGGAACCAGTGTAAAGACTTCAGAACTGGACTGATCCTCTTTCTTAGTGTTAGTGAGGAACCAGTGTAAAGACTTCAGAACTGGACTGATCCACTTTCTTAGTGTTAGTGAGGAACCAGTGTAAAGACTTCAGAACTGGATTGATCCAGTTTCTTAGTGTTAGTGAGGAACCAGTGTAAAGACTTCAGAACTGGACTGATCCACTTTCTTAGTGTTAGTGAGGAACCAGTGTAAAGACTTCAGAACTGGACTGATCCACTTTCTTAGTGTTAGTGAGGAACCAGTGTAAAGACTTCAGAACTGGACTGATCCACTTTCTTAGTGTTAGTGAGGAACCAGTGTAAAGACTTCAGAACTGGACTGATCCACTTTCTTAGTGTTAGTGAGGAACCAGTGTAAAGACTTCAGAACTAGACTGATCCACTTTCTTAGTGTTAGTGAGGAACCAGTGTAAAGACTTCAGAACTAGACTGATCCACTTTCTTAGTGTTAGTGAGGAACCAGTGTAAAGACTTCAGAACTGGACTGATCCTCTTTCTTAGTGTTAGTGAGGAACCAGTGTAAAGACTTCAGAACTGGACTGATCCACTTTCTTAGTGTTAGTGAGGAACCAGTGTAAAGACTTCAGAACTGGACTGATCCTCTTTCTTAGTGTTAGTGAGGAACCAGTGTAAAGACTTCAGAACTGGACTGATCCTCTTTCTTAGTGTTAGTGAGGAACCAGTGTAAAGACTTCAGAACTGGACTGATCCACTTTCTTAGTGTTAGTGAGGAACCAGTGTAAAGACTTCAGAACTGGATTGATCCAGTTTCTTAGTGTTAGTGAGGAACCAGTGTAAAGACTTCAGAACTGGACTGATCCACTTTCTTAGTGTTAGTGAGGAACCAGTGTAAAGACTTCAGAACTGGACTGATCCACTTTCTTAGTGTTAGTGAGGAACCAGTGTAAAGACTTCAGAACTGGACTGATCCACTTTCTTAGTGTTAGTGAGGAACCAGTGTAAAGACTTCAGAACTGGACTGATCCACTTTCTTAGTGTTAGTGAGGAACCAGTGTAAAGACTTCAGAACTGGACTGATCCTCTTTCTTAGTGTTAGTGAGGAACCAGTGTAAAGACTTCAGAACAGGAGTGATGTGATCCACTTTCTTAGTGTTAGTGAGGACTCGAGCAGCGGCGTTCTGAATCAGCTGCAGCTTTCTAATAGATGTTTTAGTGAGACCTGTGAAGACACCATTACAGTAGTCCAGTCTACTGAAGATAAAAGCATGGACAAGTTTTTCCAAATCCTGCTGTGACATTAGTCTTTTAATCCTAGATATGTTCTTTAGGTGATAGTAGGCTGATTTAGTAACTGTTTTAATGTGACTGTTGAAACTCAGGTCAGAGTCCATGACTACACCTAGATGTCTGGCTTTATCTGTTGTTTTGAACATTGCAGACTGAAGCTCAGCGCTAACTTTTATACGTTCTGCCTTGGCTCCAAAAACCATTACCTCAGTTTTATCTTTGTTTAATTGGAGAAAGTTCTGACACATCCACTCATTGATTTGTTCAATGCACTTACTCAGTGTTTGAATTGGAGCATAGTCTCCTGGTGAAATTGTTATGTAAATGTGTGTGTCATCCGCATAGCTATGGTAACTTATTTTGTTGTTTTTCATTATCTGAGCCAGTGGTAGCATGTAGATGTTAAAGAGAAGAGGCCCCAAGATGGAGCCTTGAGGAACCCCACATGTCATATTTGTCAATTCAGATGTGTATTTACCTATAGAAACAAAGTTGTTTCTGTCCTTTAAGTAGGATTCAAACCAATTTAGAACTGTTGCCGAAAGTCCCACCCAGTTTCCAGTCGGTCTAGTAATATGTTGTGGTCAACAGTGTCAAACGCAGCACTGAGATCTAATAATACTAACACTGAAGTTCTGCCAATGTCTGTGAAGACCTTACTGTATAAACTGTGTACGACTGTATAAACTGTGTTGATGGTCGATTTCTGGATATCCTGGAGGCAGTTAGAGAGAGACCAGTGTTAGAGAGAGAGAGACCAGTGAGAGAGAGAGAGAGAGACCAGTGAGAGAGAGAGAGAGAGACCAGTGTTAGAGAGAGAGAGACCAGTGAGAGAGAGAGAGATCAGTGTTAGAGAGAGAGAGACCAGTGAGAGAGAGAGAGAGAGACCAGTGTTAGAGAGAGAGAGACCAGTGAGAGAGAGAGAGAGACCAGTGTTAGAGAGAGAGAGACCAGTGTTAGAGAGAGAGAGACCAGTGAGAGAGAGAGAGAGACCAGTGTTAGAGAGAGAGAGACCAGTGAGAGAGAGAGAGACCAGTGTTAGAGAGAGAGAGGTTAGCAGCTTTAATACATCTGGGTGTAATCTGCATAAAAAAATGGAAACAGATGTTGTTGTTACGGATAACTCAAACCCTTCAAAGTTTCCACTGACGATGAGATAAAGATGTCATGTTTCGGTCCACCAATGAGACGCTGTTGCTGAGGGTTGACTCAGATCTTATAAGTGAGCGGTGTCAGTGTTTGCACAACACTCACGAGGAAACCTCCGAGCAGAATGGCTGCAGTCTCAGAGCTCTCCGTGCTGCTGTTTGCTCTCATCAGCAACATTCACGCTGAAGAACTCATCGTCATCCGAGGGGAAAGGAGCTCTCTCACCTTCGAGCTCCCAGAGAAGGCCGGCTCCTGCCTGATCTCCAGATGTGTTGGTGAGGAGAAGCTGGTCCTGTGGAACACCTCTGACCTCTGGCCCCAGAGCTCCTCAGTACCTGAAGAGCTGAAACAACGACTCGTCAGCATGGCCGATACTTCTTCCTACAAGATCAACGACCTGACCCATTCAGACTCCGGCCTGTACCAAGAGGAGTGCTGGACTGAGGGCAAAGTGACTCATGAGAAAAACATCACAGTTACTGTTTGTGGTTCAATACATGGGTCCTGGAGTGAATACATGAAAGATGAAGAAACAAAAGACCTGCCTTGTCGTGGAGCAGCTGACCACCTGGATGTCCAGTGGCTCAAACGGGATTATCGATATGAACAGAAAATATGGACCAGAGTTTTTGGGGACAATACGGCATCAGTGATGGACAATGATAGAGGAAGATACCAAGTGGTGAAGAACACATCAGCTCTACGTATATCCAACTTCTCAACAGCTGACCTCGGAGAATACACCTGTCTGCTGATGAACCAACAGCAGTGTGTTCGCAGTAACCCTGGAGTGTATAAGCTGGACCCAGAGAGTATCTATCACTCAGTGGAAGACACGGCTGTGCTGCAGTGCCCTGACTTTGGTTTCAATGAAAAGAAGCCTCCACATTGGGAGACTAGAGTCGACAACATTCACCAAGGACAACATAACCTCTCTGTGGGTGTAATGGACCAGAACTACTCTCTGGTGTTACCATCGGTAACGTTAAATCACTCAGGTTGGTACTCTTGTATTAACTTTAATACTGTGAAAACATATTATCTGTTGGTGTGCCCCAAATTCCCCCCCCCTGCTGTAGAGCTCTTCTCAGGGGGAGAAGAAGTCACTCTCAAATGCAAAGATGGGGAACAGTATCAGCATCAATTTTGGTTCTTTAAGTCGAACCGAACCAAAGGAAGAACCATTAGTTTATTTTATAGTCAGTTCAGGAGCAATGTGCGCAGGGAGAGTGATGAGAGATTGGTGATTTCTAATGTCTCTCTGGAAGACACAGGAGAGTATTGGTGTGCAGTTTTTGACATAAATATTCAGTGTCTGTCTTCAACCAAGACCCTCCTGAAGCACAGAGACCCCTTTGGGGTTCACTCCACCTTCTAAGCAGTGAGATGCTCAGCGCTCAGTGTTCTGCTGCTGATGCTCTGTGTTGCTGTAGTCACTGTGACCCTGAGGACCAGAACACGGGACACTTAATATGCATCTGTTCATTTCACTTCCCTCTGTCCTCGTCCTCTTTCATACAGCGGCTCAGAAACAGGATTTAAACACTGGGTGTTAGAAATTCATGCAAACACAACATCTGAGTCTGATCACAAGAGAGAGAGAGAGAGAGAGAGAGAGAGAGAGAGAGATCGAGAGAAGAAGAGAGAGAGAGAGAGAGAGAGAGAGAGTTGAGAGAGATAGATCATAGAGGATGTACGAGTTTTTAGAGTCGCGTGAGAGGATAGAGAGAGAGGATCTACCTATCTCCTTCCTATTCTCTCTCTCTCCTTCTTTCACTCTTTCTCTTTCTGTTTTTTTTCTTTTATCTGCCTCTCTTGCTTCTCTTCTTCTCTTTCATCTCTTTCTCTTTCTCTCGTCTCTCTTTTCTAATCTCTCTACTTCTTTTTATCTACTTCTCTCTTCTCTCTCTCTCTATTTCTCTGTCCTCTCTCTCCTCTCTTCTCTCTCATAGATATCATTACGAACTAGATTACCTCATCGGCAACATGTAACATCATCATTATTATTAATATTAAGGTTTATAAATTATTTGACCGTTTAAAAAATAGAAAAGGTGAAACTTCAGAAAGTAATTAAAATATATAAACACCCAAAAATATAAATATCCCAAAATACAGAGAAAAGAGGGTTTTAAATGTTGAAAGTAAATAAAGATATTGTTATTAATATAAACATATATTTAGTTTAGTATGAATATATTCTTGTATATTGTAAATATATGTGTGTTTTGCTCTTCTTGTAAAGACTTGTGATGTTAGGATCCCTGCTCCGCTCTGCTCCGTGTTGTTTTCATAGATATTGTTAAATGTTCACTTATCAACCTTTTAAACATCGCTTTCACATTCAATGATTTTAATCCCCTTATTTTTAATCCTGTGTTTTTATTCTGATGTTTTATTTCAAATCAAATAATTGTGATTTTCTTTGAATTCGATGTGAAAGAATGTGATTTATGTTTGATGCATTTCATAAGTCCTGTATCTGTCATGGTGTCAGTGTTATATCATGTGTTCTCATACCTTGGTATATCTATCAGTTATCAAGTGTCTGTATAATAAAGATTACAACCAATCAAACCTGGAAGACCCTTCTTGCTGTTTTGTGATCATTATAATATTATTATTTACAACAGAGCTTTTCAAATGACTAACTCATATTCTAAAGTAACGTCCACAAAGTCGATGAAATGATGAATCCTTTCCCTCCTATCAGATGCTTCTCTTTGTAACGAGGCCACACTTCAGGACATTATGATTATAAAGTATTATTCTTATTCATTTTCTCTCTCTCTTTTATTGAAGTAATTGTAAGCTGAGATAAACATATATCTTTCTACATGATTAAAGTCAGATGATTGCCCCCCATGGAGAGATGTTTGTTATATGCTCAGTAACTACTCTGCACACATTAGAGTACGTCAGAGGGGAAGGGGCTCAAATGCATAAAAGGGCACATTGGAGATATTTGTTCACCATTTAATAAAAATGTGCCTATTTTTTGTGACAGTTAATATTGAAATGTTAGTATTTAAAACAAACTCATGACGAAGGTTGGTCCAAACACTACTTTGTGACAGTTGTTTACAATTAAATGCAAAGAAATGAAGTGTATTTTAGTCAATTCTCCTCGATAAGTATCTCAACTTTGACCCTCTGACGCACAGAAGCTCTTTCTCTCTTCTGTTTCTTTATAAGAGATTCACCAATTCGGGGGTCCTTCTGGGTCTATCAGGCGAGGGCTATGGGGCTTAACAGGTTAAAGGGTTAGTTGGATTATAAGGGGAAGTTTGAGGAGGTTTCATGGCCTTCTTTCAGAGAGATGTGAGAGGAAATGGAGCCAAAACCACTGAGATCCTGAGATATGGAAGAACAGCGTCACAGAGTGAAGGACTGGAGCCTCGGATCACTCTGTTCTCAAAGTGGGGGGGGGACACTTTTTCAGATAGAAATAAAACTGTATTGCGCTCCACTCTTTTTTTTGTACACACTCATTTCCTTACTATATATAGACAGGGTTCACAGAGTCAGAGTTATCGAGGAAGCCAATGACCTCCGTCTTTTCTTAAAGAGTGTTGAACATGTGAACTACACACTCTGGTTCTCTGAGAGGAAGATAAAGAACAAGACAACATTTACTTCAGACTAACAGACAAACAACACTGCTGCATGTTGTTGGGTCGTTTCAGAGAGTAAAGTGCAGTGCCCCCACCCTGTTCATTTTATATTAAAAGTGATCAAATCATCTTGACACTAAACCAGTGTTCTTGTTTATTACATGTATTTGTCCACGCTAGTTTTAAGAACATTTATAAGTTATACTTTTAAAAAGTCCCCAGCGTCCCCAGCACAAATGACTCTTCATGTCTGTTGGGTACACACACTCACTGTGTACAACAAAATACAAAAAGCTCCACTGATGCAATTCTTTTACATATTAGATATATTTACATGTGTGTGTGAAAACAGTGTGTATTTTATGTCAAGTAATTGTGTCACATTGCACAATACTTACTTACTCCTACGTGTATTTTTAAATGCAAATGAAGTTACTTAAAGGGGACCTATCATGCAAAATGCACTTTTGTACGTCTTTTCTACATGAATATGTGTCCCCGGTGTTCCAGGGAACTCACCAAGTGTCAGAAAACACAACCCTCTCTATTTTCCTCCATACCCAAATCTCTAAAAAAAGGGGCTGCAACGGATCTGATAAAAACTGATCCAGATTTGAACACTGTCCTGACGTCAGGACGGTGGCGCTACGGCTATTGGGCCAACTCCACCAATCAGGAGGAGACAGCCACGGCCATTGCCGTTCGAAAGCGCTGGAGACGCTGTAGTACATATGCCAGGCCTGTAGATAGTGCTGTTCTCACTGAATCTGCCCTTGCAGAGCAGAGCTAAAAAAAGTGCAAATTGAGCGAAATGAATTCAAATATAGCATGATAGGTCCACTTTAAAGTGGACCTATCATGCTATATTATAATAATATAGTGTAGGACCATACCTATATAAGGCATATTTATACTTTTTTTTTTTCAAAATACCAAACAGATCATGCATTTTAGCCATGCCTCATTTCGCTCAATTTGCACTTTTTTATCCCTGTTTTTGCAAGGGCTGATTCTGTGAGAACAGCACCACCTACAGGCCTGGCATATGTACTACAGCGTCTCCAGCGCTTTCGAACGGCAATGGCCGTGGCTGTCTCCTCCTGATTGGTGGAGTTGGCCCAATAGCCGTAGCGCCACCGTCCTGACGTCAGGACAGTGTTCAAATCTGGATCAGTTTTTATCAGATCCGTTGCAGCCCCTTTTTTAGAGATTTGGGTATGCAGGAAAATAGAGAGGGTTGTGTTTTCTGACACTTGGTGAGTTCCCTGGAACACCGGGGACACATATTCATGTAGAAAAGACGTACAAAAGTGCATTTTGCATGATAGGTCCCCTTTAAGAAAAAACTTAAGTCTACATAAATTAACAAAATAACAAAACCTGACATGAGAGAAAGCAATCCTTTCTGAGTTGAGTGTTGACTGTGGGTTACTACAGGTTACTCATTTAGTTGAATTGTCTCTAAAGGGTCCCAAAACACTAAAACAATTGGACTCAAAAGTGTATTGTCACTTCCAACAGTTCTATACTCGTGGCAGTTATCAACTAACCTTTTAACAAAGAACATTATGTGTTTGGTAAAACAACGTGCTGCTGAAATGCATCTTGTTGTAGCAAACACTGTGGTGGTGGCTTAAAGCCCACCTCCGCTACGCGCCGTTCGTTTGTGAGCCTGGTTATATTTAATAAGAGAAGGAATTCAAAACACCGGAATAAAGGTTATAACAATAATCTGATTTTACTGGTAAAAAACAAAACACGTATACAAGTTTACAGAGTACTCCGGACTTCCAGTTCTACCGCCGTGCAATACAGGTATTGGGACCAGCCAGTCAGAAACAGGAAGTATTTTACATGCATAAACAACAGTATTCATATCCATATTTTGGGGCGGAGATGTGTCGACTCTTCCTTCCCATTTTACTCTGAAGCGAATCAGAGAGTCCGTGGGGAGGAGCTGTGTGAGCTGCTCACTCCCCCAGGTGTTTTTACTGGTTGGATTCACTTCTGGTCGGGTCCAATACAGAGTATCAGAGTTCTGGGAAGAAGTATTTTTTCTTCTGAGCAGAGCGTGAGATTCGGAAGTACACAAGGACAGAGTCAATCTTATCTCTGCACCGATATTCACTCCTTTACTTTCCCAAGG